CAATCATAACAGGAGCTAATAGGGCAGTAAATAACTTTAGATAAGTTATTCCTACGAGACTTAACGACCCTGCAACTGACGGCCAAGCGATCGTAGAGCTGAGGGCAATACCTGAGGCGGGTTTGGTGAACGGGGTGCGTCAAAACATATTCCAAGTGGATTTTCTTTGGATATCCCTAAGATTCCTTCATGCTTAGTTTGCTCTAGCTCCGTAATATTGCTTAGAATATGTTATTGTGTATATAAAGTAAGAAAGATTTACAAAACCAGCACTTCCCTTGTGTTTGATTCGTTCACGCTGGCTTGTATTCCCGGAGGCTTCTTACTACAGTTGCTAAAGGAGTTCTGTTCGTACGGCCATCTGGTTACAAAAAGAAATGCTGTGGAGATAAATATAACCTCAACTTTACGAAGCATTAGCCACGCAAGAATAACGGGCCTATGGCATTTCTTTTTGCTACCCAATTATACTCAACGAATGGGTCAGGTTGAAAATGTCGTGGGACGCTTACGCTGGCCTAAATAGATGTAAGCCGATTATGCGAAAAGTCAGTCCCTGTCTCGGTCTTATTAGTACTCGGTTTTACTAGTAGGGAAGAAATACGGAGGTCCGGGAAGTGAAGGTGAGGCAGCAGATGTAAGCCCCTTACGAGAAAATTAAATCTCTGCTTGAATTCTAGTATTACGAAAGGGATACAGAGGCTTGGGGAGGGGGGGGGGGGCAGAGAAACAAAAAAAAACAAATAAAAAAAACATATTTTTAATTTATATATATATATATATTTTTTGCTCCGCCTCCCTCCCTTCTGCTTTATTATAAAGCGCTTCCTTCCCTTGTTCTTTATTATAAGGGAGCTTAAAGCGCGTTAAATTCTAGGATATAGCCTACAATTCATTTCTAGCCTCAACTCTAGAATACTATATTCATCTGCTCCAACTCTAATGAGGGCGCGACCTGCACAAAACGCGCCCTCCAGGGCGTCACGTTCTGTATATATATATATATGTATAGCCCGAAGAAGAAGAGAGAGAGAGAGAGAGATATATATATATGTATTATGAATGCGTTACATAGGGTCTTTTTCTCGGGTTTACATAGGGGGATATAGAGTTTAGCCTTGTTGCGCCGCACAAATGCATGCGTGAACAGTGCGATGCTGGCCAGCACTTCGTGTCCTTTTCATCTCAAACGTGTCGCGCAGCTCTCGCGCTAGCAGCCGCATAATGTAGTTGGCCATGGCCAAGCTTCGCTCGAAGCGCTGGAGCTGCATGCTTAGAGTTTTTTTTTGCGAGTTCGAGAGCATCCAATAGCCAGAGCATTCATGCCCACACCATAATAACGTTCATGTTCGAGAGCATCGTATAACCTGAGCATTCATGCCTAAACCATGGTAACCTTCATGGTTTAGTGAGTGCGACAACCAGAGCATCCATGCCCAAACCAGGATGATTTTCATGTCCGAGAGCATCCGATGACCAGAGCATCCGCGCCCGAAGGGTGATAACGTCCCTGATCACGGGTGCCCGACGTCCTAGCACATCTTTACCGCAACCATGATGATTGCGAGGTCTCTTCACTTCTCCAGGGGCGTGCAAGGAAAATGGCAACGCAATTTTCTGAGATGTGACCATCTAAAAAGGAAACAACGGTAGTCTGGACTCTTCAGTGTTTTAAGCCTCTGCCATTTTGCCGGAAGGATAAATCTGCGGCAAGACTCCTGATCCAAGCGTTTAGGGTTTCCCAAAATTAGGGGTATTTTTTTGGGGGTCTCTAGATACAGGATGATGGTATCTGGGGGTCTATGTTGGGATACTCTCATTTTGGGAAACTGCCATGTCAAGAAACGCTGTTGGACGGCTTCTTTTCAAACCATTCGCACTTTTGAACTTGGAGTGATCTGCACAGGTGCGCTTGATTGTGCCTTGGCTGAGCAAGGGCTCAAGTGATTTCATAGCATCTTTCAGTTCCGCAAGAGAAATGCCCAGTCGAGTTTGGCCCCAGAGGACTCCCAGAGGTGAACTAGAAGATAGGCATGAATTCTCATATTGACATGGAAGGATTGGGGCTTGGCAGAATTTTACCACCCGTTGACCGAGTACAACGTCAGGCAAGGCACCAGTACTCTGACCTAATATAGACCGTCATCCTGATGGCATGGCGGCATGTTCAACTTTGCAATGCTCCTTCACCCTGGTTTCAGGGTGGCATCGCGGCACTACAAGGGGCCGGAGCTCCTCGTGGATGACTCCTGCATAACTTGAGAGCGTAGGTTCGCAATGCATGAATGATGTTTGCATTCAGGTCAGAGCGCTCGCTTTAGACTTCTTTTTCTTTTTTTGCTTGATACTGCTGCTACTGCTGCTGCTGCTGCTGCTGCTGCCGCCGTTGCTGCGCTTCTGCAGTTGCTGCTGCCGCTGCTGTTGCCACCATCGCTAGTGCGACTGCTGCTGCCATTAGTACCCTGGCTACTAACACCAACGCAGCTCCCCAGTGCTATTTCTTTTTTCTTCTCCCTATCGCTACTCCTGCTGCTACCACCACGTCACTATCACTCCCCCTCCTCTTTACTACCGCTGCTTGTGCTGGAGTTAGTGCTACTACGCAGCCGCAGCGGCAGCAGCAGCCACCGTGAGGACGGATTTGAGCCAGCACCAGGTACCAGTAAGTGAGTCGTAATGGGTGGTGAAGGGCATCGTGATGCCTTGCTGGGCGTGGTTCCCCGCGCTAGCAGCTTGAAGCAGCTGCAGGTGAATTCGCGCGCGTGGCCCCTGCACTTTGTTGACGGAATGTGGTCTGTTTTAGGTGAAAATCGGGGGACAGCATCGTCCCTGCGCCTTGTTAAAGGTCGTGTTGAGGGGCAGCCGCCTTATGACGACCCTAACCCCCTCGTCCACATCGCCGCTGAGAGATGGGAGGTTGGCTGTTGTTAGGGCAAGCGGTGGGAGCGGTAGGTGGGTGGCGTTCTTTGGAGTTGCTCCATGTTGAGCTTGTCATGTTTCATGAGGTCGTTCATTAGAAGTTGGACATCATGGAAAATGACCGCCCTTCCAGCATTCGCGCGTGCAGAAAGTCACGCCAATATCTGTTGATTGTTGCGAAGTGTGAATGCAAAGCAGCCACCGTGCTGTCAGCTGTCGATGATGCACAAGGACACACTCTATGACTACTCTCTAGATATCTGGAGCTTTGGCAACTTGGCGATTCCTGCAGATTGGACATGCTTTCCGCAAGGATGCTAGGAAAGAGTATTGTCACATGTGTGGAGAGGCTATGTTTCTCCAAGCTCAGTGGCAAGTCAACTCATGAGGTTGCATGCTGGCTGGGATGACTTTCCGAAAAGAGCCTTTCTTCGCTGGTGCCGACAATGTTGACCAGCTGTACAAGATTGCAAAGGAGCCCACCCGTGGTTCACCTTGAGTGGTGGTGGTTTCTGTTTTTTGCCTGAAGGTGTTGGGGACGGACCTTCTTCACGACTATCTTGATGCTTACGACTTGGAGCTAGAGTTGGAAGTGGAGCAACGTCTTGGGTTTCTTGGACGCTGAATTGTTTTGCGATGCCTTGGGGCACATTCAGCGATCTTGTAGCTTTCGACACCAGGAATACGTCGTTGCCCTGTAAGGACACTCCCACGCAAGCAGTGGTCGGCCTTCAAAACCAAGGAGACACACACACACACACGCGCGCACACACGCACGCACGCACGCAC